AAACCCTAAACCCCCTAAACCCCTGCGCTGCTTTCAGAGCCCAGGCTGCTCGGGGACCTACCATCCCCGGGGCTCCATCCCGTTGCTGCGCCTAAAGTTGGCGCTGGTGAAGGCTGGGTTAGGGTTTAGGGTTTAGGGTTTAGGGTTTAGGGTTTAGGGTTCAGGGTTCAGGTTTTTTTTCGGGTTTTGGGGGTTTGGGGTGTAGGGGTTTAGGGCTTTGGGGTCTAGGGGTTTTGGGGTTTTGGGTGTAGGGGTTTGGGGTTTAGGAGTTTGGGGTTCAGGGTTTTGGGGTTTTGGGTGTAGGGGTTTGCGATTTAGGTAATGGTTCACGGTTTGGGTTTGGGGTTCGGGACTTCGGGGTCGGGTGTGTGTGCCTTTTTTGGGTTTTTAGGTGCCTGCTCTGTGCTCTCCGAGGAGGACGTCAAAGGATTTTCAGAGGAGGGCTGTCGGGCTTGGTCGGGCCTCAGGGGGGCCCGTTGCCTGTAGCCGACTGTTTGAGTTTAGATAGGGCGTCGTATTAGCAATAAGCACCCCTTGAAATAAGGTATCCCGCATTTTGTTTAGAGACTTCATCTAAGATTCAGGGCTCCCCAGGGAGCCTAATGCCCTGTAATTAAGGAGTATACCTTAAACTATCGGAGCGTTAACATTAGAACTTAAGGTATATTCCTCAATTCAGGGGTATTTACCTCTCTGGCTTTGGGCTTTGAAGGTTCCAGCGTCGTGTCCGGTCTTGGATCTGAGGGGCTCAGCCCGCAACCCCCGGAAAAAAACGATTTTAGCAATACTGGCAATGGTAATATTCGTAATCTAGCAATGGTTATGGTAGCAACAACAGCAATAGTAGTGGAAACAATAAGCCCGAAACACACCCCAGATCCTCGTCGTTTGGACCAAAGCCCAACCCCTAAACCGCACAACTCAGCCCCACGCCGTAAGCCCGAGACCCACAACTAAAGCCCGGAGTCATGAATTTAGGAAGCTCTGGCACATGCTCTTCTTTCTCATGAGTATAGTCTATTCAAGAGCATCAACCCTATATCCGAAACCTTTCGAACCTCCGGCTCTACCTGTAGCCCCAAAATTGTGTGCCGGGCTCCTTCTTGGAAGTTCCTGATGGGTTCCATCGATAGGTAGGACGGTTGGGCTTCAGGTGCGATGTAGGCTTTCATAGGAAAAGAGGTCCCCTTTCGGGGTAGGGCTTTCCGGCTATGGGTGAGGTTCGGGGTTTTCCACAAGCATGTAGTGTTCAGCACATGGAAAGGTCGATGCTAAGAAGGAAGCTCCGTCATCGTCGAAGAGCGGCGTCCTGTCTGAACAGACGTTGTTTTGCCTTTCGGGTGTTGTACTTATTTCGGGTGTCGGGAACCACATTCACAACATATAACGAAGCATCAAAAACCCGAACACGAAACCGACAAAGCCACGCAACAAGGTTAAACCCACGATGGGCGGACGGCAAGATCAGAAGGAGCTCCAAGACTCGTGCTTATACACTCGAAACCCTAACCCCTAAACCCTAAACCCTAGTCCCGTAAGAGGCACTGTTTGTATACTGGGTCTGACTCTAGCCTTGAATGCTTACAAGGGTTCAGAACATACATTGGGTTTTCTTATTTGTTCGAGTTACAAGGTTGAAACAGGGACGTATAAGGCCACGACAACACCTTACTACGACAGTTATGGAAGTACCGCTGATTTCTTCTGATATGAGCACTATGCTTTAGGCGTGACCTTCGGATGTTGGCTGCGGAGATGCGGAGATGCTACTTTTATGAGACCGGTCAAACAGGAGCACGGCCATCAAGGGGCCTGATTGGTTTAGAATAGGGCTTAAGGGGGTACTCGAAATTTATTTTTCTATCAGGAACCCCAAAATAGCATTGGTCATTATCTAGGAAATTGCAGCAACAGTGTATAAATGCAGGAGATCGAACATTCCTGAACCTAAACCCCTCTGAGCGACCGTGACCCCATGCAGCACCCTCAAACGAATCCTAAATTGTGCCGCGATGGTAGCAGCAGCTCATGCAGCTGCTGCCATATCTTTTTGCAAGAACAGCTTCTATTCTCTCCGCCGCCGAGGTGTTCCAATACGGGACATCGCACCGACGCTTGTGCCAACCGCCAAAGCCGGAAAAGGGCAGAGTCGCATGAGAGCTTAATCACTCATGGTTAAAAACTATATGCAGCATCCGAGAACCCTCAGACTATTGGAACAACTCCTGCGAGGAACACATTGTTTGTACACACACTGGCAGAAGCGAATACCACTTCACTGCACTTGCATGATTGCTTGTGACTGCGTCAAGCTACGATGGAGCATTAGATAAAGGGATACAGTACTCGAGGTGAAGTCTTCTAATATAGAAGGACTTAGAAACATAGAGCGAGTGAGAGCGGCATAGCACAGCAGCACAGAGTAGCATGAAGTAATACTGCTACCAAAACCACCACCACCAGCAGTACTGACACTGCGAGTACAGCTACTACTAGGCCACTACTTCTATTGCATGATCTAGTTGCAAAGGGGTTACGCATGTCTGTCTTGGCACCTGAAGCAAAGAGGATATGTGGCAAGCAGAGTCTGGCCCAAAATTTGCAGATCTATTTGTACAAAGGGACTACGGCAGTACCACAGCAGTAGCATGGATCAGCCGTACACAATTCCTCAACCAGCCCATCGGCCACCTCCGAGGCCTCTCGTACTTCCTTCACCTTCGTCAGTGATCCGCAGATTCCAGAGCTCCTGCAAAGGATTGAGGGATTTGTGAGGGACGGCTTCCAGGACACAAGGGTCCTTGAAGACAAGCCGGATTTCACCCCAAATGTGCTGGAAACGCCATTCCAGCTCATCCTAACTCACAGCTGCTTGGTTTTGGGTCCTGCTGGTGCCGGCAAGACCACTCTCGTGAGGGCCTTGGGTGGTGAGAAGTTTCAGCCTGGAGTTCAGCCTGGTCCATACCTGAGGCAGGGATGGGGAAGATGCAAATGTCAGATTTTCGTCCATTGCTTCACATGTTCTAAGCACCGGGGTTGCCATGATATGCTTCAGGAACAGAACTATGAATGCGCAAAGCATCGGGCTCGATCTTCAAGACCTCTCGGACAAGCTCAGCATGGACCTAATAAACATGGCTGGTGCCCCGACAAGAGTACGGACATCCACGCGCAGTACAAGGAGGTGTTGAGGGAGAAGGGGCTCCCAAAAGAGCACGCTCGTCACATCATCCTTTTCTGTGTTCCGGTGTCTATGCTCCGTCAGTTCGACAAGGGCAAGGCCAAACAAATGAGCGAGCAGCTGCACAAGCTCAAGTTTGACCGGCGCTTCCCGATCAGCGTGTTGCCAGTAGCCACCAAAGCAGACACGGAATCGCTCAGCGAGTTGCCAGCTCTGCAGGCCGCCATCAAGGAGCTGGCACAAATGGCCTTCAAGGAAGCCGGGGCCGTCATCGATGAGGCGGAGTGGACGATGTTCGACCCTAACGATGCCTCACGAGTCAGGGGACCAAGTGAGTTGAGTTCATGGATCAAGACAACTTTACTTCAGCAGCTGACGAGTTTACCGCGCTTTGGCGATTGGCATTGGCGAAGAGTGTGAAGGACCACACTAGAAAGCACTGTGAAACTCGACCGGCAAACGATTCGGCACTGCGCTTGTTCAACAGTGCCTGCCGGACAGTGGCGGCTGCTTGCGCACGAGCTCCAGACTTGGAGGGCTGCAACAGCCTCATTGTTCTACCGGAAGAGCTGCCTTGGGGAGTCCTTCTGAAAATCCCGGATTCAGGGGACAGGGAGTGGCAGCTTCCATTTTATGCTGCATTCTGGGTCGGCTTCCGCAAGAGAGTGGGTCCGTGGAGTATTGCTGCTCTCTTGTTTGTCTTCTCGCTTGTCCTTGTCATCGTGTCACTCATGAGCATGGACCAGATGGTGGACCAGATGACTGGCAAGTACACCGACCAGTTGGACCGGATGACTGGCAAGTACAACAACGCAAGCGACCAGTTGGACCAGATGACTGACAAGTACAACAGGGCAAACGACCAGTTGGACCAGATGACTGGCAAGTACAACACGGCAAACGACCAGTTGGACCAGATGACTGGCAAGTACAACAATGCAAGCGACCAGTTGGACCAGATGACTGGCAAGCACAACAGCACAAGCGACAAGTTGGAGAAGATGACTCGCAAGTACCAGAAGATCACTGCATGCACATGGACGACACAGAGAAAGCAGTGCTATGGCTTAGTTGGCATCATCGGCGCTTCAAGTCAAGCAGAATGTAGAGGAGTTTGCTGCAGGATGGGTGGAAAATACTGCAGCACGTGGCAATTTCGAGATGGTGATGGATGCTGGTTGGGCCTCCCAGATTCCTGCGATGGCGATGGCGACTGGGATGGGGGCCAGCTTAGCCAGTCGTAGACTGGTTGGTGGGCAGGGAAAGACGCACTCCGCAAAAGCGGCATGGGGGCCAGCTTGAGACAGATTTGCTTGCCCAGGGGGATGGGAAGTCGCACTCTGCAAAAGCCAGGGTGCTGTTTTCCGTCGATCACACTCAGATCGGGCTATCCTGTTCCCGGATCCTCAAACGAAGTCGCCGTTTCTTGGGTTAGGGTCCCCCATAAAACATTACCAGGACATCATAGCCGAACCCACACTAGAAGAGCCCCAGAACGGTCACCAGAATTTTGTGACAGTCCTGTGTAATGAGCCAGTCGACAAGTTTGGGCTCTGGCCTTTGGGAGATGCCTCGGAGCTCGTGCTGGAGAACCTGGGGTTTTGTGGTCAAGTTGTTAGTGTTGTCACGATGGCTACTGTTGTTGCCAGTCTGATGGTAGATTGTTCTGTATTCTTCTTGCTTACGTAGTATGTATCATGGAGTCCACGGCGGTGCAAGTCTCATGGAATAGCGCGGCAAAGAGTAGAGAGGTCTTCACAGAATGGAAAGACCCAGTGAGTTGAACCCATCAGTGCGGAGAGTTCTAGATGGCCTGGGTCTGTGAGAACTCAGACATGCTTCTGCATGCCTTAGTGATTGCAGCGCCCACGATCTCACCTGCAGTGCAGTGACGTCAGGTCCCAGAGTTCGCAAAACCTGCGCAGAGAGATTCAAAAGGTCGCTGTGTTCACATGAGCGCCTGTCTGAAATTTCGCATGACTGGCTAGACTCGGCTAGACGTCCATAAGTGAGGTTGGAGATAGGACAACCCCAAGACCCAAGTAGGGCTTCAGGAGGTTGTTGCGAAGCCTCCCATGCGCAGCTGTTTAAATAAGTCCGTCTTATGCTATGGCTATGTAATTAGGACCCTACAGATTACGACTTCGTACATGGTTGTGTCTAAGCTTTACAGACACCTGAGGTTTTGAATAGCCTGGAAGAAATCCAAAACCCTCCACACTGGTCTGCAAAGGATTCGTGTGCTAGTATGTCCGGGTCTGAGTTCCTAATTGTCCACAGCTCACTGCTTCTGGGTATCGAAAGATCCCCTGTAGCCGACTGTGCTGCAGACTTCAAGTTCACACACTTGAAACAAGAGATCTGCAGCCAAAGCCGGGACGCGCAAGCAAAAGCTCCCTCGAAACAAGCGACACTTACTGAACCTACCAACACACTGTCACCGTTTCCCCTAAACCCCATCGCACTTATCCAAAAGCTCTACTGACTTATATGCTAAGGCCTTGGGCTACAAAGACCGTAGTTCAGTTATAGATTAGGGATTTCGGGTAGACTCTCGAAACCTTTATGGATCCAGAGCTTGAAAGTTGCACTTGCCGTCCGATTCGGCTGTCAACTTAGACGAGAGAGTAGCAGACTTCGACTCGACTTTTCCATCCAGTGGTGACTTGGCTGCTGTGGATTCCCTAAACCCTACACCCTAAACATCCCGAAACCCTAAACGCTAAACCGTGATTTAGGGTAGGGAATGAAAGTTTCGTTTCGGCCCTTTAGGGTTTTGGGGGTTTCGGATGTGGGGTTTGAGGGTTGAGGTCTTGGGGGGGTTAGGCTTCTGGGTTTGGGATCCAGGGCGTAGGGTAATGTAGGGGTCGGAGGAGTTTATAACATCAGTTTATGGCTCCTTTCTTATGCAGATAAAACATTATGGAACCCCCAAACCCTATTTCTCGTTATATACTGACGCCCCATGCAATAGAAGGATTGAAGTTAGGGTTGATGGCTAGGGGAGAGTGATACTCTGCCCAAGAATGTTTTTTGCATTCGTGTGAGAGTTGCTTTGGAGATACATTATTGATTGTGTAGGGGCATACGTGCGTTTTAGTGTGCCGGGATTAGGGTCAACCG